ATATATATCAGTGTAAACAGTAAAAATATATATTAACTAGGAAATTCAACACCGGCTTTAAAAATTATTAATTAATAACAATAAATCCATGTCTTAAAATATCAAAAATGCAATGGGATATTTCCTAGAATCATACCAAAATTTGACACATGCCAAATTTTTACATAAATAAAGCCAGTCTGATTAGAAACACGCTCCAGTCTGCTTGATATTTCGAAATATTTAACAAATTGTTAGGAAATTACTTATGTCAAAATTAAAATTGCTAATACATTAATGTTAGTAGTAAAAAAAATTCTATATATACCTCGGCTGAGAAAGCTATTATTTACCTCGCACATTATATCCCTCGGCGCTACGCGCCTCAGGATATAAAAGTGCTCGGTAAATAATAGCTCACTTCTCACCCTAGGTATATAATGTACTATTATATAATTTAAATCACGCTATTTTAAATAAAGGGCATTTATTATCACCAAAACTGATTAGCTCGAGTTTGACATATGTCGTAAAAGAGTAATACAAAAGTAAGACGTTTAGTACCGTCATTGCTTCTCTATATCTATGATTTGAAAGATTGGTATGGCCTCGCCTACTTTGTGACGTCACGGTGTGCGTTGCGCACATTAGGCTGATTTAAGTTATTTTATCATTGTTTCACATTCATTTCATTTCAAACATTTTATTCAATTTTTAGAAAATTTTACAACTAATATATCTACATATATACAAATAAAACATAGCTGTACACAGTACAGTATGCGACCTTATCACACGCGAATAAGGCCTAGGCGATCTCTCACCCTGTATATGTATTCATATTTAACTATTTTGATTATGCTATAAATATAGCCGCCCTCACTCCTTACCCAAAGGGTATTATTAAGGGATTAGGAAGGATTATGGTCAGGAATTGTAAGTATTTGAGGGTTTGTCGTGTCTTAGTTTCGTTATTGTCCCCTGAAAAAGCTAGAAAAAACAGGGTTGTCGTTGGTGGTGTGTGTCTTGTGGTAGTCTATGTGTTTTTGTCATAATTCACAAGGAGGGCGAACCATAAAACCACCCGGAAGTGCCTCGGTCGAGTGCGAGTGTTCGCTATCGACCGCGGCTCCGCCGGTCAGTCTATAGTTCAGTCCTCCGTCGGACTAGAATTCGTAAATATCTAGTCCGTGTGAATTATTGTTTAGTATTGTTAGGAATTGTCAGGAGTCCTGTTATTGTCGTCTATATATGCCTAGATTACGATGGATGCAGCCGTGCTTCCTCCGCACGCCGTCTCCCTGGTGAATTTGGGTGATGCTTTCCCTCAGTTCCTCAGGGAGGCATCGCGCGAAGAAGTTCTCGGATGTTTGTAAGATAAAATCCTTAATCATAGGCATATTTGTCGTCCCGTGAATGTCTCGTATTCTAGCATAGCGGTCGTAGCCAAGTGCTAGCCTCAGACATCTGTTTTGTGCCCTTTGCAGGGGTAAGAAGGATGAATTTGATATTGAGCAGTATACTGGACAACCATATGTCAGTATAGGCCTAAAAATGGTTTTATAGAGTAGAAGCTTGTTCGGCAGGGATAGTTTACTCCGTCTATTCATTAATGGGTACAGAGACCTCAGAATACCGGTGTTTTTGGCTATCCTGTCTTTAATGTGGGCCTTAAACACTAGCGTTTTGTCTAACAGAAAACCAAGATATTTCATCTGCGTTTTGGTTGTGATTGGCTGGTCTAGAACTCTAAGGGGCGTGTCTATGCCTTGGGAACGCCTTTTTGAAATTAAAATAGATTCTGTTTTATTTTTGTTGATTTTCATCTTGTTTTCTGTTAGATAACTCACCAATGTTTCATTAATATGGTTTTCCAGTCTGCTGCTCGCAGTTTGTGCGGATTTGTGGCTTGTAAACACACAGATGTCGTCGGCGTACTGCGCCGTTTGTACCCCATTATGTCCCATTGGTAAATCATGGGTCATGATGGTGTACAAATGCGGCGATAGTACCGAGCCCTGTGGTACGCCCGCCCTTGCTAGGAAAGGTCCTGTTATTGTTGAATTTATTTTAACGTAAGATATGACAAAATTGTTTTGATAATGTGCCCAGGAAAGTCATTCATAAGCATTTTGTAGATTAACCCTTGGGTCCATACGGTGTCAAAGGCTTTTTCTGAATCAAGCGCCACCAGCACCGTTTGCAAGTCCTGATTAAATGCCTCTTTGGCATAGTGTGCAATTCTCAGGACCTGTGCCACGGTGCTGTGCCCCTCTCTGAAACCGTATTGTTCCTTCGGGGTAATCTGTATGTTGTGTTCGATTGTCTTTAGTCGTCGTAGTATGATGGAGTCCGTTATTTTTGCGAGTGTATTTAGCAATGAGATAGGGCGGTAACTATCAATATTATTTTTCGGTTTTCCCGGTTTTAAGATTGGGATGATATTTGCCACTTTCAGACTGCTGGGATAGTGTTGCAGTCTGAAAATGGCATTTATTATGTGGTAGATCTGCACGATACCTTTTCTACTGAGGTTTTTTAGTAGTATATTGTTAATGTCGTCCGATCCCGGAGCTTTTCTGACCTTGAGACTCCTAATTATCTCACATACCTCCCTAGGGGTGGTGTAGCAGGAATGGGGCACTGAGAGTGGTTCTAGTTGTCCGAAAGCGGTAACTATATTTTCAATACGTTGTTGTTGGGGTGAATTTAGTTGATCGTTTACAAATTGAGCTTGAAAGTATTCACCTAGGGCTTGACCTTTGTCTTCGTCGGTCATTAGTGTATCTTGTCCTCGTCTCAGAGTGGGGAGCAGCGAGTAGGGTTTTTTGTACCTCTTCACTACTCTCCACAAAGAGTTGTCTTGTGGCTTCAACTCTGATAGGGTTTTTTGCCATTTTTTATTACGGTGGTTTCGAATCATTTCGTTGATGTTGATTGCAAGATTGTGCATCATAACCCTATCATCGTCTGACCTGTGTGTCTGCCACCTTTTTCTGAGTCTGTTTTTGTTGCTAATTAATTCTGTAATTTCGGGTGGCAGATTGTCGTAATGTAAAGTCTGTGTTTTAAGCGTAGTTGTGTCGTTTCTAGCTTTTTGTATATTTTGTATGAATAATTTGGTTTCGTTTTCGAGATTTTCTATTGTGTGGATATTATTGTTAATTGTTACGTAAGTGTCTATTTTATTTCTGTACTGTGTCCAGTTTGTCGATTTGTAGTCGTAGTATTTTGTGATTTGTCTTTGTATTTTGTTTGTTGTCCAAATCTCCAAGTACACTGGATCGTGATCAGAGTTCAAGGTAGAAATAGTTCTCATGTTTCTTATATCAGGGATATTTTTAGCTAGCGCGATATCCAGTGTACTGGGGCTGTAATCGGGATTTGTCGGAAAGTACGTCGGTTCTTCTGTGTAGTGGATAATAAGGTCATTGTCCTCGGCGAAGTCTCTCAAAACTGTACCGCTTGCGTTGTAGTGCGCACAATGAGAGTCCCATTCCTGATGTTTGGCATTAAGATCCCCTGCCAGAAAAACCCTGTTCCCTTTCGACATTAACCTGTGCAGATTTCTACCTGAAAGAGTGGTTCTCGGAGGGTTGTAGGCCCCTATTATGATGATATTATTTACCTCTATTATTATATTTTCAAATCTTTCATGCAATTGAAGTTTAGGGATTTCTTTGAATTGTAAATCTTTTCTAATAATGATAGCTACCCCCCCAGCTGCATTTCTGAGGTTGTGTATGTTTCTGTCTTCTCTAATTACTGTATAGTCATATATTTTTACTGTGTGTATAGGTTTTAAAAATGTTTCTGTTAAGATGATAATGTCAAATTTATGCTTATGAATAAAATTGCTGACAAGCCCGATCTTGTTCAGCAGCCCGTGCACATTGAAAAAACATATTTTGATTTTGTCTCTATTTATGTCGTTGAATTTAATTTTTAATGTTGTAAGAGTCTAGATTTGTCATAAAGTTATTGAAAGTCATGAAATATTGAGGTGTGGAGGTGCATTTTCTAAGGGAGGAATTAAGGTCACAACAATTCAGGGATCTATTATCGTGTGACATCTCTTTTTAGCTAAAGATTTTCAAGAACGCTTCTCACTCCCGCGGGCTCACCTATAAAAGCGCGCCAGAGCGCAGTGGCGTACCCAAAAATAGATATTAACACGTATAAAAACAATAAAGTTATTAAAATTGAATTAATATTTTTATGTTATTATTTTAAAATAATGTGTTTTTATGAAATGTAACTGGGTGTTCACTGCACAAATGAACCAATGGAGAAACCGCTCCTGCATATACTGCGTACCTTTCACAACCTAGACAAATCTTCATGTTTCTAATCTGATGAAATGCATTTGGTGTGCATTTACCGATGATCGTTTTGTTTTTTTTTTATTATTTTTTCTGATAAAATTGACTTTTACCTCCCCACTTATTCCGTTTTGATCTTTTACAAAATCTTCTATTTCCTTATTGATTAAATCCTAAGTTACATTAACGATTGTAATTCTGGCAGTTTTAATTTACTCAATTCCGTATCATATTCATAAGTGTGTTATTGAAAGCCTCCTTTAATATATTCAACTAGCTTTTATTTTGACACTTGATTTTAATATTACCAGATTTGCTTTGTTTTATGTTAGTTACTCCGATTTTGAGTTTGGCCGGATTAATCTTAGATAATATACTTTTTTGTTTGATCATGTGACTGCTTCTTCTTTGATCTAACTATTCATTTAGTAAGGTTAGAGTTGACTGCCATATGAGTTGTGGTTACCTTGTCTTGTTTCAAAACACTAGAGTAACTAACATTATGCTTTTCCAAATGTTCAATGATTTCCTTTTTATCAGCTATTGTGGGTTTTAAAATGCCTATAAACTCAAAATTCTTACATTTCTTGCAGTTAAACTTTAGTATACTTTTTTTACCTTAATTTTGACATACATAACTCACTACATTCTATACATACTAGATTTTCGCAGCAATCACATGAAATACTTTTATTTTAGGTTGACAAAACAACAATTATCTGGGATGCAGCTAGCGGTCAATGTACCCAACAATTTAGTTTCCACTCTGCACCAGCCTTAGACGTCGATTGGCAGACCAACACATCTTTTGCAAGTTGTTCTACAGATCAGTGTATTCACGTTTGCAAACTTTCCATGGACAAACCCATCAAGTCATTCCAAGGACACACTGTACGTCAAACAAATAATTTATTTAATATTTTTTATCTGTACCTTTTTTTTAGAACGAGGTAAATGCTATCAAATGGGATCCTCAGGGTCAATTATTGGCGTCGTGTTCTGATGATATGACCCTTAAAATTTGGTCCATGAAACATGATACTTGTGTCCATGATCTACAAGCTCATTCTAAAGAGATTTACACCATAAAATGGTCTCCTACAGGGCCAGGTACCCAAAATCCTAACATGAACCTTATTTTGGCGTCTGCTAGTTTTGATTCTACTGTAAGGTAAGAATATTAAACATTGGATATATAAGGAAAATATAGAAAATTATTTAACAATACTATTTACGTATTTTTAGGTTATGGGATGTAGAAAGAGGTGCTTGTATTCATAGGCTCACAAAACACACAGAACCTGTTTATTCGGTGGCATTTAGCCCCGACGGCAAGTTTTTGGCTAGTGGTAGCTTTGATAAATGTGTCCATATTTGGTCAACACAGTCTGGACAACTTGTCCATAGCTACAAAGGCACCGGTGGAATATTCGAGGTACGTTTTTCTTCATTTTTTTCTGCTAATGTATTTTAATCTATTTTTGTAATTTATTTTTTAGGTGTGCTGGAATTCTAGGGGAGATAAGGTTGGAGCCAGTGCTTCAGATGGCAGTGTATTCGTCTTAGATTTACGTAAACTCTAACAGTAAATGAAACGTCCATGGGGGGGGGGGGGGAAATGCATCTGCAATTATTTGAAGTAAAAACGTTTTACTCTGTATGACATTGTGCGGGATTTAAAGTAATTTATTTTTGAATAAATCTTAGATTTAAAATTTATATATTAATGTTAGATGATAATTTTAGAATTCATTTAGGTATGTATCTGTTTAATAAGGGTCATTCTAAGTGTGCTGGATATTTTACTTCTAGTATTTTTATCCAATATAATATGAGAAAAAAAATTGTTTTATTTCTGTTCCAATTGATAAAATCAGTAAGTTTAAAGACCGACGAGAAGCCGAACGTTTCAAGCCAAACAATCTGTAAAGGATCTTGCTTTAAATGTGACTGCCAGGGACACCAACAAAATGCATGTCGGAGTATAATATCTAACACGGTTACTACTCATGAAAAATCCGACAGTATTAGTGCTAATATTCCCTCTTGCACTTATTGTAAAAAATATGGGATACGTTTAATCAAATTGTTGACAGCCTAAAAAACATTTGTGTTACAAAAAATGACGCCATCTGAATTCGACACCGATAGACATGTTATTAAGCTCTGAGCAAGCTCAGTCGATGGGCGAAGTTATGTCATCAGATCTGGGGGGGCTAAAGCCCTAACCCTAGTCATATAATATATAATAGTTCTAGAGGTATACTGAAGTTAAGTAAAAAAATTCTGGCGAATCTATGAAAATTAATAAAATATCATATATAAGTGAAAAAACTGAATAATTTTCATCACAATAATTTTCATCACAAAAATTTCCCTAATTTTCGCAACAAGAGTAGATATGGACAATCCACTCGAGTTATGCAGTATATTTTTTCTACGAACTACTAACGAAAATCTACAAATTTAAAAAATTATTTTAGGTTTAGACAAAATAAGCCGTTTTAAAATAATTTATAAATTTTATTAATTTATAAAATAAAAAAAATTAGCCCCTAGTCCAGATTCGAACCCAGGTTATTCGCGTGGAAGGCAAATGCTTTGTCCTCAGCTCCACCGCCACGTTTAGGTTTTTAATTTTATACTCGTAATTAAATTAGTTTCATACAATTTGATTAAAATTTACTTTTTTAAATGTGGCCCAAATAAAATTAAAATGTTATTTTTTATCGATTCTAAACAAAAATAACTAATTTTAACGTATATGTAATCTTAATGACTAAAAAATATACTGACATTTTGTCATCATAATTTAAAATTTTAAAAATAATAGTAGTTGGATGTCCAAAATATGAACTGGGATTTCATTATTTTGCAGTTTTCTCGCTATGTTATGTTGGGAATGGGGTGTTAATACACTGCGACCTAAAATATCTATTGTGCCCCCTTCTGTCGCTAATGCAGCAAGGAAATGTCTCAATTCCTATAACGACCCTTTCAATTATATATTCTCAAGGAAGTGTAGGATTTGGAGTGGCTTCAAGTTTCTATTTGGTATAGTGCCCTTGGATTCTGGAGTGCTACACATTCAGTTAGAATATAAATGAAGGTTTCGTCCTTCTCCTCACAGAATCTTCACTCACTATTTTCTACTACTCTCAGTTTACTAAGGTGTCCTTTTAGTTGGCAATGCCCAGTAAGGATCCCTGTTACAAGTGTCCTCAATACTAGACAAATGTATATTATGATAACAGCTTAAAATACAATCTGGCTAATGTGGAATACCCCGAAAGCCTTGCCAGACTTGTCTAATGATCGTCAGGCGCGCTAAATTCTGCACGTTCGATTACTATTCCTCTCCTCGTTTAACTACCTGGCTTGTCAGGTCCGACCGAAATACGGTTTTATAACCGAAACCCAATTTCGGCTCCTTTACAGAAATAAGAACTTTCTTTTAAGGCAATCTCTTATTGAAATTTGCAATAATTTTGTTTAAGACTAATTAACTCGTATTATAAATTTTAGCTACATTTACTTATTACCTATTTATTTATGTTGTTGAAGTTCTCAGCTGGAATAAGGAAGGCACAGTCGTTTTGTAGATATTTATTCGAAGTAAAATATATAATAGACTTATGTATGTCGATTCTGACAAAACTCAAAACTTATAGTTCACATAATAAACAATAACTATTTTCTAAAACTATATACTTGATAACTTTATTTAACACTATTAAGGTAACTTCAATACTTTCCCTTGTTAGATAAAGTTATAAAAACATTCAATGTAGTCCCATAAGTTTTCTCAATTCCTCTAATCGTAGTTTCTGTAAGGGTTTCGTCATAATGTCCGCGACTTGCTCTTGCGTTGCTATTTGCCGAATTCCCAATTTGCCTTCCATGACTTTTTCTCTGACAAAAAAGTGCTTGACATTTATGTGCTTTGTTCTGTTGTGGAATTCAGGATTCTGTGCCAATTTGACTGCTGCTGAATTGTCCACTTGAAGTATGGGAACTTGTCTTAATTTGGCAATAGACGAAAATAGATTTGTCAACCAAATTATTTCTTTGGTTGCTTCAGTTGCTGCGATGATTTCCGCTTCTGTAGTCGAAGTAGCTACTACTGGCTGTCTTCTGCTAATCCAAGATATTGCTCCACCTGCATATGAAACAACAACTCCAGAAGTAGATCGTCCAGTGCTAGTACATCCTGCAAAATCTGAATCACTATAACAATTTAAAATTCCTTTGTTAAGATTTGATTGATATACTATTCCTAAATCGAGGGTCCCTGCAATGTATCTAAAAACTCTTTTGACACTTAAAATATCTTCACTTGTAGGATTTTCTAAAGACCTTGATAAGAATCCCACACTGTAGGCTATATCTGGTCTTGTTCCAAGCATTAGGTACATTAAGGCTCCTATAGCTTGTCTGTAGGGATATTCTCTCTTTTCGTGATCTTTCCCTGATTTTAAATTTCCTGTCTTGATCATAGGTGTGGATACTGGTCTGCAAGCTGAAAAATTGAAACGCTCAAGGATCTTCTTTGCATAAGCCTTCTGATTAATTTTTATGCCTCCTTCTTCCTTTTCAATTTCTAATCCTAGAAAATAGACTGCAGACTTTGTAGTAATTTTGAATTCTGTTCTTAATTCTTCCAAAAAATCTTCTAGTTCTTGAATTTCACTTGATATCACTAAGCCGTCATCAACATAAAGAGCTAATATAAGCTTCTTGTTATTTCTGACTCTTTGATACAAGCATGGATCCGCTTCACTGACTCTAAATCCTAAATTTTGTAAGAAGCTACCGAATCGTCTGTTCCAGCATCTTGGAGCTTGCTTTAATCCATACAAACTTCTTTTCAGTTTACACACTTTGTTTGTATCATTTATGAAACCTTCTGGCTGTTTCATGTAGATTACTTCATCCAGTTCTCCATATAAAAAGGCAGTCGAAACATCAAACTGAATAAGATTCATATTTTCGCTTGCCGCAATACTTATAATAGATCTTATTGTACTTAATTTAGCTACAGGGCTAAATGTTTGACTATAGTCAACACCAGGCCTTTGTTCGTAGCCTTTGATGACTAATCTGGCCTTGTATTTTTCAATACTACCATCAGGGTTTATTTTGACTTTGAAAACCCACTTACATGGCAAAGCCTTAGCTCCTTCGGGTAGGGAAGCCAACTCCCATGTTTGGTTTTCAATCAATGACGCCAGCTCGCTCTGCATAGCCTCTTGCCACTTGTTGCTTTGCTGACTACCCACTGCTTCTGTATACGTTTCTGGAGTTTTGACAGTGTTAATTAAATCTTCTGCTATCATTAAGTAATCTTCATATCTTACTGGTTTTAATATTTTTGATCGATCTCTAAGGTTATAAGTTTCTTCATTGTTTTCTAGCTCTTCTTCGTATTCGCTATCTTCAGTTTCAAAATCTAAATTTCTTTCTTCAGAATTTTCTTCCGTGTCCTCTTCTACTTCACTATCTTTGACATTATTTTCTTCGCTCTTACTTTCAGGCTGATAATCTCTTAGGGTTAGTTTAATGGGCTCAATACAGTCTCCTAACTTCTCTTGAAACTGCACATTTCTAGACAGAATTACTTTGTGACTTTCTTTCACCCAAATTCTGTACCTTTCGTCTCCGTCATAACCCACGAGATATCCCTTAATAGCTTTCGTATCCATTTTTCTTCTTCTTTGGTTTGGAACGTGTGCATAACAGGTAGAGCCTATTATTCGCAAATGCTTTATTCTTGGTTTCCTACCCAACCAAAGTTCATATGGAGTTTTGTCGTCTACTGATGACTTAGCAGTTCTGTTGAGGATGTAGATAGCTGAACTAACCAGTTCTGCCCAAATCGCTTCAGGAAATACTACCGCTGAATTTGAGTACTTAAAAGTTCTAGCCATTTCTATAACAGTACGGTTTTCTCTTTCACTATGGCCATTCTGCTCAGGAGTATAGGGTGCTGTTAACCTCTGAATTATTCCGTCCGTAGAAAGAATGTCTCTAAAGTCTGTATTATCAAACTCTCCTCCGTTATCGGTTAATATTTCTTGTATAAGGTGACCATATGCTTCTGCATGTTTGACTAGATTCTCCAAGCAATACTTCACGTCTGATTTTTCCCTTACAAAGTAACCAAAGCGAAATTTTGTGAAGGTATCTTTAAATAGAACTAAATATTTCTTTTTCTGAAAAGACTCTGCAAATGGTCCACAAACATCTGCGGTTATTAACTGACCTGGTTTGGTGGCTTTTGTTCTAGTACCAAACGGGAGGCGGTGCATTTTTCCATATATACACGGCTCACAAAGTTCACTGTTTAGCTTAACATTGAACCCCAGCTCTTTTTCAAGTAAATTTCTTATGTGGCGTTTATCTTGATGCCCCCACCTCTCATGAAAGAGTTGCAACAGTGAACTATCTGATACTATTGCATTTACTTCTGATCTAATTGGCTTTAAATCTGCTTTGTAGAGTGCACCATTTAAATCTCTATATCCACATAATATTTCTTTATTGTCAACTGTTAAGGAACACTTTGTCGCTGTAGACTTAAACTCACTGTTTGTGTTGTTATCTTGGGCTGATAAAATGGATATTAGATTTTTGGTCATATTAGGAACGTACCAGACATCTTTTAGCAGTATTTCTTGATTAATATTATTTACTTTTGCTAAAACTCTTATGGTACCTTTTCCTTCTGCATTTAGGCATTCTTTCCCAGCTGTTCTCATGATATTGGGTGATTCAAATTGTTCATAAGTTCTAAAATAACCATAACAATTTGTTACATGCCTAGTTGCACCGTTATCTATCCACCAATTTATGGAGTCTTTCTCAACTACATTCAGCTCATTGCTCATGGACATTAAAGCTACCATACTAGTTGTAGCATACTGTTCTGAAAGCTGCTTGGCCCTTTATTTTTTGCCGGTCTTCCATCACCTATCCATTTCTTGCAATGCTTTACCCAGTGACCTTTTTCTTTACAATAGTTACAGTTATCATTCTTCTTAGAACTTTGCTTTTTATTTTTCTTAGTTTGATATTCTTTTTCTGATCTTGCTACTAATGCTTCTTGTACAGATTTTTCTGAGTTTATAACCTTCATGAAATTCCTTTCATGCATACAAAGCTGCATTGTTAATTCTTCAAAGGTTTTATCAGCATCTTTGGTCAATAATAACCAACCAGATTTGAAGTTTTCGAAATTAGTTGGCAAAATATGGAGAACCTTACACATTAACATTAAATCTGGAAGTTGAGCAATGTTTTTAACTTTAAGACCATTATTTAACTCATTCCATAAACTTCTTAGTTTTGCTATATGAGTAGAAACATCATCACCTGGATTCCAACAAAAAGCAAAAAACTCTGTACATATTTGAAATAACTGATCTTGTGATGTGGCTTCAAATTGGAGTTTTAATGCTTGCCATACATCATGAGCTGTTTCTTTGTCCATTACTTTTTGGTATACCACGTCTGTCATCGCTGTCGTCATCATTGTCTTAGCATAACTATTTGCCTTACGGTAAAGATCAGTATTTTCTTTATGTTGTTTGATCTGCTCTGCCGTAGCTCCTGCTCCTAAAGCCTTATTGGGATTCTTTAGTATGCCATCAATGACTTCCAGGGCTCCTTCATGATAGTCCAGTAGGTCTCTAATTTTTCTTTTCCATACTGGCCAATCTGCTTCCCCAGATAATGGTTTAACGTACTTAGCTAAATCCATTTTATTTGATGACCTCTTTTGTGGTTGTAAATCTAATTAACGACTGCACATGTTACTGGGCTCATAACCTGTTGAAGTTCTCAGCTGGAATAAGGAAGGCACAGTCGTTTTGTAGATATTTATTCGAAGTAAAATATATAATAGACTTATGTATGTCGATTCTGACAAAACTCAAAACTTATAGTTCACATAATAAACAATAACTATTTTCTAAAACTATATACTTGATAACTTTATTTAACACTATTAAGGTAACTTCAATATATGTGATCAAAAGAAGCCATTAATAAATTTATTGACATTGCTTTTTTTTATTACTTTTGAAACTAAAAAAAAATAAGTGAATTACAAAGTACAGTTCATCAAATTTCTAGAGGTGTTCGACGCCCAGACAGAGAACGCGCTACGTGTGACTAAGATAGCTATTGTACAGTCTGCTAAACAAGTTATTTTAAATAGTTTTTAATATTTTTAGGTAATTAAATTTTAAAAGTGTGGAATAGTTTAGGGATTAAATTGGTCTGATTGGACTTTCTTAGAACGTTTTTAAAAGCAGCTAAAGATAGTATAGATAATTGAAAATAATTATTATGCCATAAAAGGTGTTTTGGAATTCCTTCAACCTTTTGAAATTGAGTCAGAAAATATAAATTTTATAGGATAGCGGAAAATACCTATAATTTTTTTGTAGGCCTTTGTAAATCGTGGAAATAGTTTATATTTTATTTCTACCTTATTAAGGAAAATGGTACCTATTATTAATAACGGTTGTTTCTGAAACATTACTAAAATTTTCGAAATTTTGTTTTTCTACAAAATAATAAACTATACTATTTAGAAAAAAATTTATTTCTTATAATTTTATAAAAAATAACGGGAATATTTACATTTCTTGATCTATTAAACAAAACGATAAATTATCTCGACGAATGACACCATGTTCTAGTACGGAAGCTAGCTTTACATTTTTGTTGGTGGTTTCATGGGTTTCATATCAATTTTTTGTAATTGTAGTTTACACGTACATATACCTCTTAACACTTGTTTGCTTTATTAAAAAAGTGTGTTGTTGTGATTTACGTCGAAATAAGTCAAAAACAACTTGAAACCCCATATAAAATCAAAAAGGAGAAACGGAAAAAAATTGAGCCTGTAAATGAACACAACTCAGAAACAAATATAGCTATCTAATAATAAAAAAATAAAATTTGATTCTTGTGCATCTTCGTTGTAAAAATAGATAATACTTTTTTGATCTTAAGTACAGATATAATTTTAATGGTCTTCCGAAAAACTTTCTTCAGTTTCCATATCAGATTCAAAATCAGTCTCACTGTCACTGTTTTAAGTTAATTATAAATCTATCAGTTGCCTCATCCAAAGTAACTTCTCTGTCATAAAATTTAGATTCCCACATTTTAGCATTATTAAAACGAGATTGCCACTCCTCTTTAGAAAACGTATCAAAAAAGTCTTCACACAACAGTTGTACGTCTTGCCTCTTAAATGTAGTGTTGTTACTAGCTACATATTATTTCAATGATGCCCACACTAATTCGATCGGATTAAGATCGGGATGATACGGTGGCAAACGCAAACAACTAAAACCATGTTCATTTATCATTTCTTCAATTGCATACCTCTTAAATCGTGACTTATGCAATAGCACTAAACTGTATAATTGCGTTTTGGGCATATCCTCTTCGTAAGCAATATTATGATTCCATAACCAAACCTGCATGTCAGCTTTTTTAGAAGTTGACGTTGGTGCTTTATTTACCTGGACATTATGGTAAGGAGCATTATCAACAATAATGACGCTTCTTGGAGAGAGGTTCGGAAACAGCTTTTCTTTCAACCATTTAGAAAAATTATTAAAATTCATTTCATCGTGGTAGTCTCCACTTTTGGTTCCAGATTTGAAAATTAACCGGGCATTCGGAATAAAGCCCATTTCACCTCCTGCATGGACAATAATTAGTCTATCACCTTTATTAATTGGTTTCTTTAATCCCTCATTTGAATTATCACTCCAAGCTTTCTGGTGTGTGTGGGAGGCATGAATGTATGTTTCATCTAAGTAGACAATTGAACGGCCCTCTGCTCGATAACTTTTTAAACGAATCAGATAGTCTAAACGTAGCTTTTGAATATCAAACCTTTCCATTAATATTTTTCTGTTTGTTTTTGTTTTCCGCCAACGAAATCCTAGCGACTTTATTATTTTTCTTAAACTTTCATAGCTTCCTTTGTACCCTGTAGCTTCTCTAAATTTAGTCAGAATTGTTTTTAATGTTGGAACAATATTTTCCGAGATTAACATGAATAGAATAATTCTTTTTAAAATACCTTTGTCAGCTTCATCTATATCATTAACTGTTTTTGGTTTTTTAATGGTTTTTCTTGGTGATGAAAATTCCGATATCTCACGGTTATCGATTCTTTTTTTCTCTCCAGAAATGCGGACGACAGTGTTTTTAGATACTCCTGTGGCTGCAGCAACACGATCATTTTCATTTTTAAATGGTATTGAAGGTGAATTAAAGTTTCCTTCTCTTCTCATAAACTCTATAACATTGGCTATTATTTCGCGAGATTGACTGTTAATCACGCGACCTCTTAATTTGCTATTAAACTCCATACTTAGGTTCTATTAAACTGTAATGAGCAAAAAACACAAACAAAAATAAAAGAAATGTTTTAGCGAAATTTACATCTGACATTTACGTCTGAATAAAATAGTGAAATACTTGATGCGCAGAGTGTACTTTCATTGCGTAAATCCGTCGGCCCCGCCAACCGATGCCTCTCAGTAGTGCTTTCTCTGTCTAGCCGTCGAAAGCCTCTAGAAATTTGATGAACTGTACGCATTTTCGAAATTTGCTCGTTCATCCTCTTACCTTTCTAGATTTTGAGAATCCATTTGAATTTGATATGTGTCAAATTCGGTATAAGCAGATTCAAGCTTTTCTAATCTATGTACAATTTCCTCTTTTGTAATACTAGTTATATCTACTTCGTTATACCAATTAGTGTTACGTGTTATAATCGCTTTTACTCTTCCTCTTTTAGCAATTAAATGGCTTTCATGTTGGTCAAAACTCAAAATAAAGAATAAAATGTAAAATGAACTAGATTCTACTCTTTTAACTATTCAAATGCTTAAAGCAAAACAAAGTTTCGAAAGAAATGATAGGGTAGTGCCCTTTTCCAATACAACGGGACAAAACAGTATTATAACTTGTAATAATATATTCACACAATTTACAGATAAAGATCAATGCAAATTGTACAAATATGTATTAAATTATCTAATTTACAGATAGAAATCAATGCAAATAGAATAAATATAAATGGCGACTCTGCAGATAAAAATCAATGCAAAATTGCCGTATGTTCGGTGAAATACCTTTGAAAAGACTGATGAGACAACTCAAAAAAAAAATTATAAAAACTTTGCTCACAACAGATATTATCAAATTGAAAAGACTCACAACTATCTCCAACTTGACGATCTAGTGTTAATCTTCTACGTCTAGAGCAGCAGTTTTAAACATCCGGGCATCGAAAGGACCATGTGGAGTTTCCTGGGACGATTCAATCTTTAGATCGTGGACCAAGAAACGGAGTAAAATAACTGGGGTTAAAACTGCTGGGTAGAAATAATGTAATATACTATTTTCCATCGGTAAGTTCACCAATGAACCAACACATCCATCGGCTTTAAAAATTTGTTTGAACGTGTGAACACGATTATTTAAGTTAACCTAAAATATAAGAGTTTAAATATAAAACGACTGCAGAAAAGATAAATTACATCGAGCACTGATGGAACAATTATTGAATAAAAGAACACACACAAGTACACATGTGGGATAGAAGAAGCTACCTATAAAGCACTGAACGATTGGACAAAATTATATAAATAGTATAATAAGGTACCAATATTGCAAAGGTTCACTAAAACCCTTAGATTTTGCTAAAACCTTAAACGGTGAACGACGATAAAGCTAGATTGGTGAATAATAATAAACGAATACAACAATGACTAGGTACATATTATTATTATTATTATTATTTATTGTTTCGGCCTTTACTTGATGAAAATCCATTTAATTTTGAAAGAGTAAAACCAAATTTGGTAGATTTTCACACTTTTATTTTAAAAATAAAAATAAAAAAAAAAAAAAAATACTAACATGACATATGTTTCGAAGTACAACTTCTTTTTCAAATGTGACTATTTACAATTCGGTATCCAATATATATACGAAATAATTTAACAAAACAAAGTACTTAAGAAAACATCAATAACATTACAAAATAAACTAACTATTTAAAGTAAATAAGGGTACTTAGGTAATTATTATATCCATCAGATAACAATAAGATAGCCCATTACCGGGATTATCTCACAGAAAACTGGGAAAGAGATTTAATAAGGGTGAATTATTAATATCTAATTGATCATTTAGTAAGTTATCTGATTTTTTAAATCTATTTATTTCAAGTGTTTCTAAATGGTTTAATTTAAGGCTCTTATTTTCTACATGTAAAATTTCAAAGTTGTCTGTAAAAGAATGATTTTCAGCTAAAATATGATTTGAGCAAGTAGAATTATTTTTGTTTTTTGTATAGCCATTATAATGTTCGGAATAGCGTTTTTTAAAAGTACGGCCTGTTTGACCAATATACAATTTTGGACAACTACCACAATTTAATTTATATACCCCCGATTTATTATTAGGATTAATTTTACACTTATTGTTTTTAATATACTTCCCAAGCGTATTATTGGTTTTAAAAGCTACGTTAATATTTTGGTTTTTTAAATATGATGATACCTTTTCACTAGGAGCTCCTATATATGTAAGACTCTTATATCTGCAATTTGGATCTTTAATTATGGGATAAACTTGTTGAATAGCCTGTTTAAAAAGTTTTTTCTCTAAAATGTTGTCTACTAACTTTGAATTAAAATTATTATTTACTGCGATTTGTTTAATGATATTTAATTCTTTAGTGAAGTTCTCTTTGGTAAGGGGAATATTAACTAATCTATGGATCATACTATTGTATGCTGCCAGCTTTTGTTTGTATGGATGAGATGAACTATTATTTATTGTAATATCCGTATGTGATGGCTTATGAAATATCCCAAAACTATGGCCTTTATTATTTTTAATAATATTTAAGTCTAAAAAATTAATTGAATTATCCTTCTCTGTTTCCATAGTAAATTAATACTATATCAATACTATACACCCTAATATTAAATTTATTTATATTATTTTATATATTATTATTTATATTAAAAACAATAAGTGTAAAATTAATCCTAATAATAAATCGGGGGTATATAAATTAAATTGTGGTAGTTGTCTAAAATTGTATATTGGTCAAACAGGCCGTACTTTCAAAAAACGCTATTCCGAACATTATAATGGCTATACAAAAAACAAAAATAATTCTACTTGCTCAAATCATATTTTAGCTGAAAATCATTCTTTTACAGACAACTTTGACATTTTACATGTAGAAAATAAGAGCCTTAAATTAAACCATTTAGAAACACTTGAAATAAATAGATTTAAAAATTCAGATAACTTACTAAATGATCAATTAGATATTAATAATTCACCCTTATTAAATCTCTTTCCCAGTTTTCTGTGAGATAATCCCGGTAATGGACTATCTTATTGTTATCTGATGGATATTATTATAATTACCTAAGTACCTTTATTTACTTTAAATAGTTAGTTTATTTTGTAATGTTATTGATGTTTTCTTAAGTACTTTGTTTTGTTAAATTATTTCGTATATATATTGGATACCGAATTGTAAATAGTCACATTTGAAAAAGAAGTTGTACTTCGAAACATATGTCATGTTAGTATTTTTTTTTTTTTTTAATTTTTATTTTTAAAATAAAAGTGTGAAAATCTACCAAATTTGGTTTTACTCTTTCAAAAAAAAAACATATTATTATATTAGATTACTAAAGGATAGCTAAGTTCCCTGATTTCTTACCTCTAGACGCAGAGATATATCACCTTTTTTAAGTCAAGCCTTTAAACTTTTTTTGTATAGATATTTATAAAATGCTATAATGTAACCTAAATATGACAATTTATTAGAAGAGCATAAATTATATTTTTATATAAAAAGACTACTTCTCAATACATTGAGTAAAAAAGAAATTCACAACTTGTTTACCTATTATTAAAGGAAATTATATAGAAATTAAAAAATATTCCTTACTTTGTTGTTTTAAATAAAACAACAAATGTCAGTGTATTGAAATTTGTTTGAATTTTACAAATTTTATGCTTGATTTCCATGATATCCATGATATCGATGGCTCAATCAAAAACCGCCACAAGTCAAAAAACAAAGAAAATTACATTTTTGGTTCAATGGATGCAAAATATCATTAAGGTTTTATTTTAAATACCTCCACAAACAAAAATATCCTTAAAGATAAATCATTTAAAATCTAGCCACAAACTGGGTCTAAAACTGCCTCAATTCGAGTTATTTTCTGCAAAAATACCCAAATTTTTTACAAACTATGCAACAACTCGCTTTTATAATCATAATCGTTAATTTTAACAGCAACATATCAAAGCTTTTAAATAAAATATAAAGACTTTCTGTCAAAAACAAAATAATGATAATAGAAACTTACAAAATTTTAAGATGAAATTTCTCGAAACAATAGTATTTTAGTTGTGGCAGTATTTGATTGAGCCATCGATATGTAGATTTTATAAAAAACAACTCGTGTTTTTTAGCAAGATATTCTATTATACTCGAGAGCATCATCTATGATTTCTCTCAACTTTTCTTCTGGGTTTGCCCTTGAACTGTTGGTTACATTTCCAGGTACATCTAGCCTGTTGAAGAGAATAAACTGGTTAAATTATGATATATTTGAGATGCCATGTCAAAAATGTCATTAAAATATTGTATTCATTCAGGGCTGGTATATCTAAGGGGGTCGCGACATAGGAGTCCATTTTGGACGCCATTTTTTTTCTAAATAGTAGTCGCTATTGATCTGGCAACGTGGCAACCAGTCGCCAGGCTTACCAATATAAGAAAAAATCAATGTTTTTTTTAAATGACATTTTCTTTATAAAATGCCCATATTTTTTAGGTTAAAATATTTTAATTTAATAAATTATTAATAATCTCACACGTACATAGAATACGTCGTGAAACGTAGATCACTTTCAATTTTGTGCTGTTTTGGTTTATTTTAAAAGGTAATTGAGGATATGAAGACAATTTTCTTATAGATGGAGATGCATAACAAATTATGGCTCTCTTTTTTAGAGCTCCAGTCCCCTAAGTCTATTTATTTTAGGTCTTTTTAAATTGTTGGTGGGTATTATTCACTTCATTTTTATGTTTTTATTTAATTTAAATATTTTTGTGTAATATCTTTGTTTTCTATATATTTTAGCATGTATTTGTAGGCTACATCTTCAAAGGATGGCTTTGAAATACCTTTACAACAGAGGTAGGTACTTTTCTAAAACTGGATGAAATTTGAAACTGAATACAGTTCTTACCATATAGAAATGCATATGCATTTTATAGTATTAAGCAAGATTCTGATCAAATGTACCCACAATTTATAAATATTATTAAACTAAAATAAAACTCTTCAAATAACGCCTGTTTTTTATTTAAATAAAACATGTTAAATATATGTTTTTATTAAACACATAAATTAGTCTCAACCACACATTTTTGTTTTGTTTTTACTTCTAGTGTAAAAGTGACTACTAATTCAGAGTCTTTTAAGTTTATTATTTAAAGAGACCAGCTACTACAAAATATCTTATTGATGATAACTAATTTCCCTTTAATAATGGTTTTGCATTTATTAACATTTTACAGCACTTTGTTTATATGAAACATCTATTTAGCTCTTAATTAAATCACATTTAAATCAAGCAATTACATTTTCATATTCAACTTGTATATATTCTTATTAGAACTTAGTCACTTTTTTTTAATTTGAATTTTTTGACTGTGGCAACTAAGTCCATTCACCAAACCACAAACTTAGTCACTTAAAAATATTGAAAGAGAATGTCATAAAGGTAAAAGTCCTTCTTCTATGATGTTTTCCATGCAATTTTAGGTTGCAAACGTTTTGTCCAACACCTTTTTTACAATTTATCCCAAGCAACACTATGAAAGATTTAAATCCTGTATTTACAGCATTCAGTTTTGAGATGAGTGCAGCCACAATGCAGTTTCAAAAATAATTTTCACACGAACACTTATTTATCACAGCACAAACGCATGTACCTATTCATATGTAACATTAAAATAAAGTGGAAACAAATTGCATAATTCGGTATATAAAAAAGTACAAAAAACAGTGGTTCATTCCACTTGTACCATATTGACATTATTTTGCACGATGCAGGAAAAACGATAACCGTGGATTTAGCCAAACGAACATCAGAAAAGTGTTGCCAACTTAAGCTGACTACTATTTCCCCCCTAGCCTCAGTCACCCCCTCATCCATTTACTGGGTCTATGTCGCGACCCCCTGCTTAGATATACCAACCCTAGTATTCATTAATCACATCTTCACCAATGTTTGCCGAGAAATAAAAGTGGAGAATATTCCTTATAATGA